TATAGTGTTCTAGTGAATGCATTAAAGGATTGTCACAGAGTTTACAATCTGAATATTCGGGTAGTGGATCAGCCTCACTAACCTGCAGATGTGCATATAGCTAAGGCGAATTCGCGCAATGACTATATCACATTGCCTACAACAGCTACTGTGCTGACTATACAAATAGCTATTATTACAAAAGTTGTCATAGATTTTAATACTGCAGATTTCAGGTCTAAACATTTCTTAGTCTAAATTTGAAGTAATTTTTTTAAATTGTATGTTTCTAATAATTGTATTAGTCCAAAGACCTAATGAGATAACTTATCTGCAAGCCTCATTGCTCAATTGATCTACAAAGTGTGTGCGTGTTGGATCAGCTGCAGGTAAATATTGTGGCTGCTGCTGTTCCCGAAGGTGATGTGGTGTCAGGGCTCCACCATCCGGGTGAATTCGCCGTCGGATAGCGCTCGATGGAGCCGTTTTTCTCAGGAAAGAAAATGACCTTGAGGGGGGAGGGGGGGGGGGTGCGAGTGCACTCAGAAACATCAACGAATATAGCACTAGACACAGACTTGGCACTGTCTAGTGTCGAGTCTGATGATAGACGCACCATCAAGGAGGGGATGTGACCAACAGACGAACGGATGGCTCAAAATTGACACGAAAGTTGAGGTTCCCCCACACCTTTCCGCAAGTGGATGGAGTCCCGTCGGCCGGTGACGAGGGGGGTTGAGTGGTCGGACCCCTGCATTTTGCTAGCGTCTGGACCAAGCTAGTTAAGTACTTGCCATACGCGGCGTGGTTGGAAGAGAGTTGGTTCCGGTGGTTTGGTTGTTAGTGTCAGTGGTTGCTGCTCCAGACGAGTTCGCTGAGGCTGCAGGCACACTTGGCCAGTATTGTGCCACTATCAGAATTAATCAGCTTTTAAACTTCTGACAAACTGTTAAGGCTAAGTCATCTGTACACTATATTATTGCCCGTGAAACAAATAAATTTTAGAATTCGCAGCCTTTTGTACAATCAACTATGTAATTAATTCATTTTATCTGGTATATTGGAGGACATCCTAACCATTTATCCAAAATTTGTTTGCCCATTAAAGAATTATATATATATATTTTTTAGCTGTATCTTTTGCGAATCCATCCCTGCCTTGTGTGGTTGCATTTCATATTCGTAACAATTGAATCATGTATAATATATGATGTTAGAAGGTAACATCATGAACTACGTATGTGTTTCAATCTAAGGTTTAGACCTATTGCGTATGATCGTCAATCTTGTGTGGCAGTGAATTGGAGCAGCACCTCACTGTGATAATCCCTAATTGAATTAGTTCCATTAGGCAAAATTTTTTATTTTGTCAATAAAATTGTTAATAAGTGGGTTGTGGAGGATGGGCGTTGTGGTCCTGTGGAGGTCCTTGTGATGGTGCCTGATACGGGTGTGTGTGGGCGTTCCGTTGGACCCTGGTGATGCAGAGTGGATGGAGGGCGTGGTCACCGGTGATGCCAGTGAAGTGAGTGACGGATGTGGAGCAGTGTGTCTTGGTCGTGGAGTGGTGCATCCTGGACGTGCCGTAGTGAACCATCGGCTGGACCCTATGCTCATTATTATTAACATTATTGACAAAATTTAATTACAGTTTTGCCTAATCTGAGGAATTCGATTAAGTCTTATTAGAGTGAGGATAATGCTGGTATTCACTGTCACACAGGACAGAGGGACATAAACAAGACAATTGGTCGGAACTGTAGGCTGAACCATATACATATATATCATGGTTACAATCAATATTTCAATGTACGAATATGCAAATACATATTTCTATTGTGCATTGCCACACAAGGGCAGGGATAGGTTCGTAAGAGATGCAGCTTAGAAATAATATAAATGGTCTTCATTCTTAAAAATTGACAAGCAAATTTTTTATATTGTTAGGATGTCGTCCAGTACACCAGATTCAATGGAATATTTACACAGTTGGTGGTACAATAGGCCAGGAGGTCTAAAATGTTCTACGGTTTCACGTTCAACAATATAGTGTTCTAGTGAATGCATTAAAGGATTGTCACAGAGTTTACAATCTGAATATTCGGGTAGTGGATCAGCCTCACTAACCGGCCAGATATGCCTATAGCTAAGGCGAATTTGCGCAATGACATCACATTGCCTGCAACAGCTACTGTGCTGACTATACAAATATCTATTATTACAAAAGTGTTCATAGCTTTTAAAACTGCAGCTTGCAAGTCTCTGAGCATTTCATAGTTCTTCTAAATTTGAGGTAATTTCTTTAATGTTTCTAACATTTGCATTAGATAGTCCAAAGTCATAATGAGATAACTTATCTGCAAGCTTCATTGGTCAATCGATCTACAGAGCGTATGCGAGTTGGCTCTGCTGCTGGTGAATATTGTGGCTGCTGCTGTTCCCGAAGGTGATGTGGTGTCAGGGCTCCACCATCCGGGTGAATTCGCCGTCGGATAGCGCTCGATGAAGCAGTTTTTCTCGGGAAAGAAAAGGACCTGGGAGAGGGGGGGGATGCGAGTGCACTCAGAAACGTCAACGAATATAACAGTAGACACAGACTGAGCACTGTGTCTAGTGTCAAGTCTGATGATACACGCACCATCAAGGAGGGGATGTGACCAACAGACGATAGGATAGCTCAAAATTGACACTGAAGTTGAGGTTCCCCGACACCTTTCCGCAAGTGGATGGGGTCCCGTCCACCGGTGACGAGGTGCCGGGTGGTGGGACCTCTGCAGTAGTCTGGAACAAGCTAGTTAAGGATTTGTGATACGCGGCGTGATTGGAGGAGAGTTAGTCCCGGTGGTACGGTTGGTGGTGCTGCTGGAGACTCTCCATGAGTGACGTGGAGAGTTATCCAGCAAGGTTAGGTAACTGTGTGTGATCCGAATTTTATGCTCTGTGCATTATTTCATGAACTATCGATATATATTCTTAGCTTTGCACTGCTTTGTGTGCGGGGGTCCGGTTACATAAGCTTTATGTATTCGGTGTATTGTGTGTGTTTCCTTTTATTTGTGTGTGAATCTTGCATACTTTTTTTAATTCCTTTGAACAAAACTGAAATACAATTTAGTTGTAGGGTGAAAAGGCTGTGTATTGGGTCGGGTCTCCTACAGTATGTCGACTAAATTTTTGGTTCTGTGATTGTTCCTATGGCATGTATTGTATGACTTGTTAAATGGTAGTTCACGGCTGTATTTATTGTATTTGTGTTGTGAGTTTTGTAGTTGCGTGCATGTTATTGTGTTGTGTAGCTTCGTTTGTGTTGTATATTCTCATTGTACATTTATTATTCGAAAAGAAGAAGCCATTAGATCAGTTGGGTCGGTTACGTACACATTGACTGTTAGGTTGTATCCCCATTAGTAATAGTTATATTCGTTCACATTAAGAATAATGTATACTTAGTTATCGAACATGAATGTATAATTTGAGTGAATAAATACTCAGAATAAGTATTAAAATAAGACTTAGTGAAAAAGTTATCGAAAATGAATGTGTATAATTTGAGTAACGATTTTTGACGTGACGGTTTTGTATATTGTGGTGGATGATTCACTGTAATTCCACTTGAACAAGTGACACAAACGTGGGTACAGCGACGGCTTCGCTGCTTGTAAGTCGGCGTTCGATCCCGCGATGACCCAAGTATTTGGACACCATTTCTTACCTCCGTCCTACCCCAGATCCGTTCCTCATATCCCTCCCAAGTACTTTCTCCTGATAATTACCTTTACCTTACCTGCATTCGTCATTATTGTATTATTTAACCTGTGCATTAAGGATAAAATGATTTTTTAATTAGAATTAAACGTTTTGGCATGGCAATTTTTACAATGTTTCCAGTGATTAGTAATTTATATATATTTTCAGAACTGGAATTTTGTCTAATATATGAAAACAATTGATATGCAGCTGTTTCACACATGTTATGCCTGTGACTGGATTCCATAGACTATAATGCTTTTTTCAAGCTTCTATAATTTGGGCTTATTAAACTCATTACGGAAAAACAAATTAATGGAGGTATTGAGAGAATAGACGTTTTAAATTTTGTGCTTATAAGAAACGTTCGTTAGTGCGTACATAAATGAACAATAATTATAGAAGAAAACTACTACAGTTTTTTCAATGTTGTTCAGGGTTTTGGCAGTCTTCATTCTTGAATTTGTTTGAGGATATATATATATATATATATATATATATATATATATATATATATATATATATATATATATATATATATATTATTTATATTATAACTGTTAAATGATCTCTGAAAGTTTCAGCACTTTAACTCTGATACAGTTATAAGCCAGAAAGCATTTTAAAATTTATACCTTAGGATGAATCACTTTAACAAATATGCACTTAAATCCACCGAGAAAGTAACACAAATTACACGCAAGATAAGGAATTTATTATCAATGTGGTTTGTAAAGAATTGAGTGCTGGCAGCAAATATGTGATAAGGAATTCAGCAAACTTGTAAATGTGCACCTGAGTCCTTGCACAGAATGTGACACAGAAAATCTTGAGCTAATAGAGCAAATCTTTTCAGAAACAAATTAGCAGATTTTGTACGGCATCGGAATGGACCAGGAATGGAATGCATTAATTTGCTCTATACAAGACAGTGGGAATCTGGTTTGATTGAATGCAAAGAATTACTCTAAAAGTAGACATGTTATATAGCCGAATCAAATCTATTGAAATATGTGGATAATACATTACAAATGTGCCCAAACATGCATGAAATTAATTTCTTCTGGATTTCAAAACAAATTAACAAAGAAAGCAGAAGAAATCAGAAAAAGGTTTCTTCCCTAAAGTACTTTAATATTTCCCTGCGATGTTGTGGATCCTTATAACACTACTAATGGTAATCCAAATATTCAAATATTAAAAAAATATACCAGTGTATTCTTAGTGTTTGGAGAGGGACGTCAATAAGGGTAGAGGTGGGTGTGACTACTTACACATAATGGTGATTGTGATGGGCGTGGAGACACCCTCCCCGTGCAGGTTAGTGGCCCTGCAGTAGTAGCGACCTGTCCGTTCCTTGCCTACCTTCTGTAGCACCAGCGTTTGGTTAGACACTATTACCCCTCCTGAGACGTTGTGCTGCATCACGGTGCCCTGGGGAAGGAAGACCAGGAGGTAGCACAGGTGGTGGTGGGGGGGTAGGGATGGTGTGTGCTTAATGGCCTCTTAGATGCCACTTGCAAATCACTCCTGGCGTTAACGCAGGAAAGGTGGCGTTGTAAGGTATGGCGTCCACCCGGCGGCTCTTGCTCAGACTCGTAACATGGTGAGGGAGAGAGAGGAGGAGAAAGAGAGGAGGAGAAAGAGAGGTATGAAGGAGGTTGTGTGTGTTAGCAGTTGGGAAGGGGGGGGGGGCGGAGGGAAAGAAACTGGGGAGGGGGGAGAGATAAAGACCAATTATAGACAGAAAGCATTCGCCTGAATGCTGCTGCTTGCTCGGACTATTCACATCTTACAACTTATCATGTCCGCGAGATCCCGATGAGGCAATATATGGATTTAAAACCAAACACGAACAAACGCTATATGATCCTCCAGGCAGCTTCCCTGTTCTCACAAACACTAACCGGTTTCTGGTTACTGCTGCCACCACCGCACATGTTTCATACCGTCCTCACAAACATTAACCAAATGTAGACCAGACCACACACTAAAAGGTGAAGGGACCACGACGTTTCGGTCCATCCTAGACCATTCTCAAGTCGCTTGACTTGAGAATGGTCCAAGATGGATCGAAACGTCGTTGTTTCTTCCTCTTCTGGTGTGTGGTCTGGTCATCGTATCTACAGTCACGCTGTTGCGACTCATCGTCTGAACTGCTAGAACAATTAACAGAACCTAAACACCTAATGTAACTTGCCCTCGGCCGCCTATGCACAAAGCTATAAAAATATAAGATAAAATCAATTTATGTATGAGAAAATACCATTGTGGTTATATTGTACGAGAAAAATGACGTTCCCGTCTTGGGTATAAACGGTCATATCTCATTGGTAACTTGAGCTTTAGTGAGCAGCTTCTAACTGTCGGTTGATTGGGTAAAATACATTCACTATTTTATTGACTTTGGGCTGATGGGTTTAAAGAGATTGATGGTGCATTTCTTGACATAAGTGACTCGTCAACGAATCTACGACACAAATCGAGAAATGGTATAATGTGGATGACTAATGTTGACTCAGTGATAGAAATTGGAGAAGCTCGTTATATGAATTGGATGATAAATCATGTTTGACCAGATCCTGTTACTGAAGAAAGTTATTTTTGTGTCATATTTGTGAAACCAGTTAACCCCCCCTCTCTCTCTCCCTCCCTCGCCCCTCTTTATTATTGGTCAGTATGGCTAGTTGTTACTGGGGATAGTATAGAATGGTACGTAGCTGTAGCACTCAGAATGTTGCAGAATAAAATGCTGTATTTGGTGTGTGTCTGAGGTGCAGGATTGTGCAGTGTGTCGAGGGGGTGACCTCGGACGTTCAAAAGAAGCCAACAATACTCCTGATTGCTCAGTAAATGTGATGTCGTGTGACGGTGTCCGGATTCACGTTAATTACACGAGTTCCTGAGAGGTATAAGGCCAGGGCCTTGAGGAGTCTCGGATGTCTTTCCCCCTATGGAGAGTCTCGGGTGATGCCTCGTGTCTGACGCCCCGTTCGACTCTCCCTTCTCCCCCCTCCCCACCTCTGGCCTGCCTCAACTGACTTCACCCCTCTGACCCGGGGGAAACTGCTCCCCATCCCCCCACACACCTCCCCATGCCGGGGAAGACTTTCTGACTGTTTTTTTCGGGGTGTTTAAGTAAAGAGGACGGGAATGTTTCATCGCCTTGCTCACACGATGTGTGGGTGTTGGCAGCTAAGCTAAGCTTGCTTTCTCTTGTCGGGGAGCTGTGAGAGGTTCTTCACATGTATTTCAGCATATATATGTATGTCTATAGATGAATACTGTGTAGCATTTATATATACACACCCCGATGCTTCCACACATGTTGTTCTGTTTAAGGCTCTTTATTATTAGTGTTTACTGATCGTGTGTGAAACTTTAATTTTTGGATGCAGTTATTGGGGGGAGAGATTTCTAGTCAGTATTTCATCTGGGAATTATGTACTGTAGGGCTGGGTTTTCATCTAGTAAATAGAGGCTCTTGGGCCACCTGCTGTAGGGACGAGGCGTCTCATCTTCGAGTATTCCTTCTAACATTGGGTCCTCTAACATTTCCATGGTGTTCCACACCCTGATGGCTTGGTGCTGCAGTCTGATGTTTAGTGGCTTAATGCTCAGGAGTCCATGGAGCTCCTGGATTGTCTGATCATATAGTGGACGGTGTTTTGCTGCTTTCCTTAGTGCCTTATTTTGCACTTGTAGTTTTTTGCATGTTAATTTTCTTTAAGGTGTGTACTGGGGGATAGTCTAGATGCGATTGGACTAAAGCCTTATAAAAGTGTAGCTGTATATTAGTATTGAGGCTTCAGAATCTCTTTGGTTTTCCCCAAGGATGCTTTGGATTTATTTAGTCTATTCTATACGTGATTTTTTTTTATCCCTGTTCTATTGATCATGATTAATTCATGATCAATAATAATTGATTTTTATTATGGTAAGTCGGTTAATTTCATTTTATTTATCCTGCTATTGCCCGCCGCCTTGTTCTTGAAACTTGTAATTGTTTTAAGAACCTCTGCAATGGTTGTGTTTCATAAGGTGGCATTCCTTGCAAATGTTGTTAAGGTCTATTATTTGCGTCGGGAGTAATGTTGCAACTGTGTTATCGACTTGAGTTGCAATTTCCCTTTTATTAATGGGGCAAAAGTTTCCATTTTCTTCCGTGTTTATCCTGAGTATTTTTTTCCCAGAACTTACTGATTTTTTTTTTTTTTGAGATATATACAAGAGTTGTTACATTCTTGTACAGCCACTAGTACGCGTAGCGTTTCGGGCAGGTCCCTGGAATACGATCCCCTGCCGCGAAGAATCGTTTTTTCATCCAAGTACACATTTTACTGTTGCGTTAAACAGAGGCTACAGTTAAGGAATTGCGCCCAGTAAATCCTCCCCGGCCAGGATACGAACCCATGACATAGCGCTCGCGGAACGCCAGCGAGTGTCTTACCACTACACCACGGAGACTGTTCTTGTTCTCTCTCTTCGTAGAGTTTATTCTTTGAGGCGTCTATGATGTAGGGTGTTTCCTGGGCTGAGGTTCTGTTATGACCACACATGCACCAGTGTAAATGTGTGCGCGCGCGCGGTCAAACACACACATTACGTGCATATTAAGTCATATTACGTGCTTAGCTTACTCTTGTACTAGTAATATTTTGGGCAATAGCAAAAACTTGTGTTCGTTCATACAACAATGCACACTGGAGGGGTTTGAATATACGGTTCTTAAAGTGGTAAACGATCGATCGACCGGTGATTGCTGGAACTCCACCCATATCCCCCCTCCCCCCTCCCCCCTTCCCCTCCTACCGACTTCCCGCCTTCCCCCTACCACCCGTCCTCCCCCCTCCCCCCTTCCTCCCCCCCTCCCCCCCCCCTTCCTCCCTCCCCCCTTCCCCCTCCCCCCCCCCCCTCCCTCCCCACCCCCCCCCCCCTTCCCCTCCCCCCCCCCTTCCCCCCTCCCCCTTCCCCCTCCACCCCCTCTAATCCTCGGTGAAGTGTCTCCAGCCAGTATTGCCAAATGTACATATAAATGACTCTTGTTTAGCACATTGAGGTTTTGTATATATTGTATTGTGTATATCTATTTGAGTACAGTATGAACGAGATGTAAATATATATGTTTTGAGCTTCTGTTATGCGCAGCGGGAAGGTTGGAGTGACTTAGCCATGTTGGCAACAAAGTCATTCTCGGCCGGTGTGGCCATTGGCCAGTCATTACTCCTCTGATTCCCCAGAGAGACGGACGTGAGAGTTCGGTCCTCGGGTTGTTCATTGTTATTACTAATGTTTATATTATAGTTGTTGTTGTTAAAGATTTAGCTACTCAGGACGAAGTGTCCATGTAGCACGGGCTATGGTGAGCCCGTAATTGAGTTTGGTTATACATGTTAATCTTTTTCCTGTGATATTTGGGTCTAAGTTTAAAATGGAGGAGAAGACCTCTCCTTTTTCCCTGCTTATTTGTCGCTTCTGTTTTAGTGCTCTGGTTTTAATCTTGTTTTATTAACATTATCTTGGTGGCGGATGTTTATATTATAGAGTAATGCTGTTGTAAATGAGAGAGAGAGAGAGAGAGAGAGAAGATTAAGCCACCCAAAAGGTGGCTTGGGCATGAATAGCCCATAAGTGGTGGCCCTTTTGAGCCATTTCCAGTATCAATAGATGATACTGGAGATCTGTGGAGGTGCGACTGCACCCTGCGTGACGGGAGATGTCTCCCGGACCAAGTGGTGACCAAATGGTGTGTTGTAAATGGATCGTGCTAAGCGGATATATCAGCAGGTCAGGTGGTGGGGGATTTTTGGTAACTGAGGATCGTAGATTATTAAGTGTTGTAGTTCGTGACACACTACTATTTATATACATCACACTTCCAAACTGCTACTTGGGTTAATATACCAGTGCGCCGGGTTGGAGGCTACTGTCAGCTAGCGCTAGGTATTCCCGTTATCTTGAGGTTATCTAGAGATGATTTCGGGGCTTTAGTGTCCCCGCGGTCCGGTCCTCGACCAGGCCTCCACCCCCAGGAAGCAGCCCGTGACAGCTGACTAACTCCCAGGTACCTATTTACTGCTAGGTAACAGGGGCATTCAGGGTGAAAGAAACATTGCCCATTTGTTTCTGCCTCGTGCGGGAATCGAACCCGCGCCACAGAATTACGAGTCCTGCGCGCTATCCACCAGGCTACGAGGCCCCTACCGTTACCGTCAACCCGTTACCGATTTGATAGCTGTGTTTAAATTCTTGAAGTTCATTGATGTGACTAGTTGAGCTGTGTGTTAAATCTCTCTTCTGATGGAAGTATCTGTTGTATACTAGTGTGTATCAATTGTATATAGACAATGTTAGTTCTCGATGTTTTACGGCGCCCTGTTTATATGTCCCAGTAAACTGGCGTAGTTTTAACAAGCCTTTTATACTTACCCTAGACCTGTCGAAAATTGGCCAGGGTTTGGTTCAACCTGTCCTCCTAAAAAGAACGTCGCTTTTGGCCGTTTGCCCGTATGGCCGAATATGGACGTAATATGAAAATGAAAAAAAATTGAAAATAAATTTGGGATTTTTTTTTCAACAACAGTAAGTTAAGGGTCCTCTGATAGGTTAGGTGGGCAGGAAATTCTCATAAAGTTTCAAAACGTTAATTGAAAGTTCCTCTTCTAAGCTGGCCGAGTAAGCCGGACGACTCAAACAGTAAACGGAACAGTACGTCACTTTTGTGAGTCGATTTCATTTCAAATTACGTCCAAATTTGGCCATAGTGCCGCGCATACGAGCCAGAAGTGACGTTATTTTTAAGAGGACGGGATGTTTGGTTAGCTAGCTAGCGATGCTGTGGATCATGTCATGACAAGTTCCCATCAGGGTTTTTTTTTTTCAAAAATTTTCCTGGGTATCTGTAGTCGACTTGAAATTAGCTTATTAGTTCATCACATTTTTTTGTACTGTTTTGCATAGATCTTGCAGCTCATCTTGTAGCCTTTTGCGCTCGTCCGTCCATCCACTCTTGCGTTATGAGTTGTAGAAGATTGTTGTTTCTGGTTTGTTGTATTGTGAGGGTCTCAGTGGCTGGGGGGTGTGGGAAACCCGTCCTCTTAAAAATAACGTCACTTTTGGCTGGTATGCGCGGCGCTATGGCCAAATTTGGACGTAATTTGAAATGAAATCGACTCACAAAAGTGACGTACTGTTCCGTTTTCTGTTTGAGTCGTCCGGCTTACTCGGCCAGCTTAAAAGAGGCAACTTTCCATTAACGTTTTTCATAACGTTTTGAAACCTTATGAGAATTTCCTGCCCACCTAACCTATCAGAGGACCCTTAACTTACTGTTGTTGAAAAAAAAAATCCCAAATTTCATTTTCTTTTCATTTTCAAATTACGTCCATATTCGGCCATACGAGCAAACGGCCAAAAGCGACGTTCTTTTTAACAGGACAGGTTGGTGTGGAAGCGTTATATGGTGAGCTATGGGGATATTATCCTTCATTCATTTTTCTATGGAACTAATCCATGTATTTAGCTCTTGTGTTTATGCATGATGTTTCCTTTCCATTAAAGTCTGTGACAGTGATTTCCTGTGCACTGCTTCTGAACGCCTCTCAGTTTGTGTATTGAAGTCTTGGTGAGGAGGGTTTCTGAATAGGGTTAGTTGATAGCGTCGTCATTATTGGTAAGTGGTCGCTTGTGCTTACTGGGGCCCTTCTATGTGAATGGTTAGGAAGTGGTGGTGATTACGTCCCCCTTCTGACTACTCACCAGACCACCACCTACCTACCTTGAAGTGCTTCCGGGGCTTAGCGTCCCCGCGGCCCGGTCGTCGACCAGGCCTCCTACCTAGGGAGACTCCCTGACCCCCCTCCTGATTGCTTCCACATCTGATCACTCCACTTTCCGTCATCGCTGCTCAGACATATTCACACACATACTCACACTCCCACTCACTCACACACACACCTATATATGGGCTTGCGCCAGGACACACAACTTACTTCGTGTATCCAGACAATCTTGTAAAACTTGGGATTGGACGTTACTCGACACTCAAAGAACACGTCTGAACCTTCCTTCACTGACTTGGGGCTGAGTCCCATCCCCATCTCCAAGTCGACTTGCGGCACGTCTGTCGGGAGGGAAGACAACTATTAGCGCAGTTACCACCACTACCACCATCATCACCACCACACTTCACTACCACCATCACCACAACTGTCACCCACCACCACCACAAAGCACCAGTACCATCATAAATGCCATAGCTACCCATCATTCGGCGACCTTTCTATAATATATATACACACACATGCGAACAAGCCTGAATGGTCCCCAGGACTATACGCAACTGAAAATACACACACACATATATATAATATACACATATAATATATACACACTTGTTACAATCTTGTAATAATGTGGTCGTGGTCCTCATGTTATGAATAGTCAAACCACGTGTATGTCTTTGTTAATGATTGCTTATGGGAAATGACAGCAGGTCTAGCTCCCGTCTTCTTTACAATAATAATAAATAATAATAATAATAATAATGTTACATACACAGATAAATCACATTAATGTGATTTATCACACAACAAATCCACAGGATCCTTAATGAGGGTTCGAACCCAAGCGTCCGGGTGTTCCCAGACGCGCTCTAGTCTGGGAAAATAACGTTTATTCAGGTACAAGTTCATACATGCAAAATGAGTTGCAAATAGAATGTTGGATTTCTAGATAGAGCAAGTACATATTATGCCTAGAGCCACTAATACCCACAACATTTCAGGCAAATGCGCGTATCAGCGTAGGTTTTTATTTTGCTCGTCTAATCCTTCTGTTGCTCTGCTGACTTGCAATTAAATTTGTTGAAGCATGAGGCTTAATTACCTCCGTTTTCAGTTGGCAAACGTTGTGTGCCACGCTCGCTGTGAATTCATGTTTTTCTTACAATATAAGTCGTCACATCTATAATGGGTTCGAGATCGACCACAACTGTACTTGTGGTCCTTCTCGACCGTCATCTCAGATCAGTCGATCTCAGTGGTCGATCTCAGTCAGTCATCATGTACACAGGTACATGATGACTGGCTCCCTAGTCATGCTTGCCTATAATGACGCCAGGGCAAATTTCCACTACCAGCCTTTTCGGAAATCTCTGCACATAACGAACCTTGTGTTTCAACGCTGATGTTGCAAATTTTTGGGAGTGGAATAACATGGGCTTTGCGTAGCCTCCTGAATGCTTCACTGTTTTGGTTTTTAAAACCCAAAATTGTTCACCACTTTCTGATATAATATAGGATTTGAAGAGTGGAAAAAGTATATTTATTACGTATCTATATAATTCAACAGGTAATAAGGAAAAAAAGGGGCCTAGCTTCGAGAAACCTGTTAATGTAATACAAATTCTGAAAATAGCCCTTAGAGCAGTATCTTCCATTGGTCGATATAATACAGTAAATAATAGAAATCACGAGAACCTTATAAGCATATTGTCGCTTGATGGAAAACGAGTAACACCGCAATCAGCTTAAAAAGCATAAAGCATTCCATGCGTTATGCTTTCCAGACCAGTGGGACTGGTCCCATGTACCAGTCCCACTGGTACATGGGACCAGCCCCACTGGTCTGGAAAGGGACCATTCAGGCTTGTTTGCATCCCATATAGTAATTAATGATAATTAATTGCTCTATAGAACAGAAAACCTCACTAGAATACGAATCCTCTGAGAGCAAACGCATTAATTTTTGTGAAAACCCCCAAAATTTGCTTTGGACGAAGTCTGACGATAACGTAGGTGGTGGTCAGAACTTGGACACATGGTACTCACAGTGGACGTTGAGCTTGTACGACTCCTCGAGGACGGAGGAGGGTAGCAGCGGGTTCTCCACCCTACAGGTGTAGACGACTCCGTGGTCACTGGGCTGTGGCACGACCCTTAGCGTCGACACCGTTCTGTTCAGCATGCGCCCTTGCTGTGTGGGAGAGCGCGGTCGTCTTAGCGTGGTAGTTGGAGGAGTGAGAGAGAGTGAGAGAGAGAGGGAGGGAGAAGCACTTACCATACAGTGTCTACGGGAGAATGAGGTGTAGCTCTTTATGCTCCGTCCACCAGCCTTGTTGTACCTAGTGAATTGCAACTTATTTTGATGTTAAAAATCTGTAGCATGATACGAACAAATCCACAAGGGCCGTGACGAGGATTCGAACCTGCGTCTGGGAGCATCCCAGACACTGCCTTAATCGACTGAGCTACGACAGGGTAAAAGGGTTGAAACCGAAGTTCTACTGAACTTTTGTGAATTTGTTCATTTGATGCATCACGTTAGTGTGATCTGTGTGTGTGTATAGCATGAATGTCATAGATGAGGGAGGGTGAGAGAGGGAAGTGTGAGGGAAAGAAGGAGAAGTTGGGAAGGAAAAGAGGGAGGGAGGTACAGAGGAAGGAGTGGGAAGGAGGAAAAGTGAGAGGAATTAATGGGGAAAAAAGTGTGAGAGAGGGGGGAGGGGAATCTGCCCAGTGTCCCGTAACTTTACGTACCCAGCCCGTCCTCCTAAGGTGCCCCAATGTCAAGAAACTGTTGTACTAAAGTGCCCTTATCCATCTACCAGAGGACCCAAAACAGAAAACGGGACAGTATGTCAATTTCCCGAACCGCTTCAATTTGTTAGTGCAACGATTTTTTGGCCTTAGAGTATACGTCAAAATGCGACGTTCTATTAGGAGGACGGGTTGGACATCCATGTGATGTTTCCCACTCTATGCAGGCGACGAGTCACAATAACGTGGCTAAAGTATGTTGACCAGATCACACACTAGAAAGTGAATGGACGACGACGTTTCGGTCCGTCCTGGACCATTCTCAAGTCGATTGAGAATGGTCCAGGACGGACCGAAACGTCGTCGTCCCTTCACCTTCTAGTGTATGGGTTTTCCACTGTACCCTCAAATGTCTTCAAGAGATCTCTCATCACATTAATAACACAGATTTACTGCTAAATTCGTCAGTTACCCCTTTGCATTCATCTCTCTTAACTTCTCTTTTTCACCACACTCTGCGCCTTCTCCATTCTCCCTGCCTCGTTTCACACCTTAACCCCTGCACTGCACCCCTGGTTTCGGCAAAAACTTCTTAATGCAATTATCAAGGACATATTTTTGTTGCTTTTATAGATATTTAGGTAAAGTTAATGTCAAAATGTTTCCAAACTTAACTATTTTCATTTAAAAACAGAGTAATGAAAACATTAAAAAACATTAAAATATAGCCTAATTAAAACAAAATTAGCACAATTCTCAGAACGCCTAAAGGCGCTTTGCGCAATGCAGTGGTTAAACTCCGTCTGACCCGAGAGCTCACCTTAGCGCTGGGGTTGACGATTCGCTGGTCGTCCCTCCACCAGGATATAACCGGATCTGGTCTGCTGCCGGCGGAGGAGCACTCCAATTCCTCCGTCACTCCGGCCGACACATACTCCTGAGGGCCGGCCACCTTCATCAGCGAGATGGTCAACGGAGCGACTGAGGGGCAAGTAAGACTTAGACAGCAAGATCGTATAACATAAACAGAGACGCCGGTGCTAGTGTAGACAATTATTTACCACACAACAGAGACGCCGGTGCTAGTGTGGACAATTATTTACCACACAACAGAGACGCCGGTGCTAGTGTGGACAATTATTTACCACACAACAGAGACGCCGGTGCTAGTGTGGACAATTATTTACTACACAACAGAGACGCCGGTGCTAGTGTGGACAATTATTTACCACACAACAGAGACGCCGGTGCTAGTGTGGACAATTATTTACCACACAACAGAGACGCCGGTGCTAGTGTGGACAATTATTTACCACACAACAGAGACGCCGGTGCTAGTGTGGACAATTATTTACCACACAACAGAGACGCCGGTGCTAGTGTGGACAATTATTTACCACACAACAGAGACGCCGGTGCTAGTGTGGACAATTATTTACCACACAACAGAGACGCCGGTGCTAGTGTGGACAATTATTTACCACACAACAGAGACGCCGGTGCTAGTGTGGACAATTATTTACTACACAACAGAGACGCCGGTGCTAGTGTGGACAATTATTTACCACACAACAGAGACGCCGGTGCTAGTGTGGACAATTATTTACCACACAACAGAGACGCCGGTGCTAGTGTGGACAATTATTTACCACACAACAGAGACGCCGGTGCTAGTGTGGACAATTATTTACCACACAACAGAGACGCCGGTGCTAGTGTGGACAATTATTTACCACACAACAGAGACGCCGGTGCTAGTGTGGACAATTATTTACCACACAACTTGGCCAAAGATATTTCCAGAGGCATAATATGGGGGAATATTCAGAGAAATAACTGGAGAGAAGGTGGGAGGGGGATAAGGGATGGGATTTTTCAGGAAAAAAGTGCCAAACACGACTATATAACACAGGGCAAGGGATGAGGATAATGATTTGGGATGGGACGGAGGGAAAGAATGCTACCCAACCATTTGGACGGTCGGGGATTGAAAGCCGACCTGCATGTAGCGAACCCGTCGCTCTACCGTCCAGCCCAAGTGGTTGAGGCGTAGGGAGAGAGGAAGATTTGACTTTGAAGACTCGATAGTGAACTTACGTGTCATATTGATAGTGACGGTGGTATCTAGAGGTCTGGTAATGTTGTTGTTGGTTGCTCTGCAGGTGAACGCGGCGTCTAGCAGGTCTCTTGGCAGGTTATCTAGGTGAAGTAGGTTCCTCACCTGTCCACGGTGGTCCACAGTGTAGGAATCCTCCACTACCACTCCGTCTCTCATCCACACCAGTGTGGGTGACGGTCGACCTGTCGCACCCGAGGCACTACTATCATCATTATCATAGACTGTGTTGTGGTCTCTCCTTCACTTCTACTATTTATTTGATTTACATTCTTACTCCGATCAGATACTAGGATAATATACATATATTACAGAGATTTATAGTAGTATGGGCATGATATTGCCTGTGATTGAGGTCAAGAAATTGGAAAGAAAGAAATCAACTACATGGCTTAACTAGCCTTTCTAGTGCACGAAACTTTGTCTTCTGAAATACCATAATACTAAAAGGTATAGGTATATTGCAGAAATATAAAAAAAGGTATATTGCAGAAATTTATAGTAGTATGGGCATGATATTGCCTGTGATTGAGGTCAAGAAATTGGGAGGAAAGAAATCAACTACATGGCATAACTAGCCTTTCTAGTTCACGAAACTTTGTCTTCTGAAATACCATAATACTAAAAGGTAAACTTTATTGTTTAGTGAACTAGTGACCTGATTGCAAACTTATATACGTAGTAAATGAACAAATCCTCATGGGCTGTGATGAGGGTTCGAACTTGAATGGGGGGAATTGTGTAAAACTTTCGTTTGTGTCTCGGAGAAGCTGCAGGGTCAGAGTGAAATCAGTGGCATTCTCAGTTGCAATTCTTTTGACCATGTCGTGACCTAGTTGACTTAAGTCAGCGTCTGGAATCATCCCAGGCGTACGTTCGAGCCTACATCACGGCCCTTGTGGATTTGTTCATTTGATGCATCACGCTATTGTGATTAATATGTGTATTATATACGTAGTTACAAAGGCATGGGGCCAACAGTCGTGGGAGGTAGAGACTGGCTTCCCAGACGACACATGTTGTCGTCTTTGACTTGAGACTCACCTCCCAAAGTCTTGCAAGTGAGGACGACTCTGCCCCCTTCGAGGTAGGGGCCGGCGCTCCCCTCCACCACAGAGCCGCTCTCGTCCGTCACCACGGCCGGTGAGGGGGGTACTGGTGAACAATGATATAAACTCAATGTTGCTGGTGATGTAGAGTCAGCTACTGGGAACAAAAGTTCCAAGTAGCACGGGCTATGGTGAGCCCGCAGAGGACTTACCTGGCACAGGAGCGGGGCTGTAACTTCTTTATCTTTATCATCATTTCCGTCTTTGCTCTTTACCAGGCATGGACAGATGTGCATCATAGGACATGGTCAAATATATACAATGACTGTCTTATGCCGGAACTCACAGTTCCTGCGACGGCGCTGGAACCAATCGTATTGGCGTATGCCTATCCATTGGAGACTTTCAGCGCATTGGAGAGGGGGGACCTGCTGCCTGGGTAACAGCTTCTCCCCCGAATCAACCTACCCTGGCTTTGCGCCCTGGTGAGGCCACTCCAGACCGACAACCAGAGCGCAACTCCATAGTCTCCTGAGACTGATGGATGCCTACTGTGTGTCTTTTTTCATTGGTATTTTGTCGAAGAAATGTTCGGTTAGGGAAGGAGGTACTGTCAGGAGATCCTGTTAGGGGTCTGGATAAGGATTTGGGATGGGACGAGGGGAAGGAATGGTGCCCAACCACTTGTGGACAGTAGGGGGATTGAACGCCGACCTGCATGAAGGGAGGCCGTCGCTCTACCGTCCATCCCAAGTGGTTGGGTGTCTCACTAGGAGACTCCAACGTTCTGCTACGCCGAAAAAAAATTCTCCAAAAACATTCATGGAAAAATTTAGTTTAAAAAGAAATAAGCACTTTTTTTTTTGGGGGGGGGGGGGGGCAATAGGGTTGTTGAATTGAAAAAATTTACAAAAACAAATATTACTGAGCATGCGATGAGTCACAATAACGAGGCTGAAGCATGTTGACCAGACCACACACTAGAAGGTGAAGGGACGACGACGTTTCGGTCCGTTCTGGACCATTCTCAAGACAATCGACTCTAGAATGGTCCAGGACGGACCGAAACGTCGTCTTCGTTTCTTCACTTTCTAGTGTGTGGTCTGGTCAACATAGGCACCCAGTATTAGGAGTCGTAACATGCCATTTACCTTCGGCCAGATTCACGAAAGCACTTACGCAAGAACTTACGAACCTGTACATCTTTTCTCAATCTTTGGCGGCTTTGTTTACAATTAATAAACAGTTAATGAGCTCCGAAGCACCAGGAGGCTGTTTATAACAATAACAACAGCTGAATGGGAAGTTTTCATGCTTGTAAACTGTTTAATAAATGTAACTAAAGCCGTCAAAGATTGAGGAAAGATGTACACGTTCGTAAGTGCTTGCGTAAATGCTTTCGTGAATCTAGCCCCTGGGATGAACATTTAAACCATTTTAGGAGTCGTAAGTTGCTAATCGATAGACGAGCACTGAGCAGCTTACCAATAACAGCCAGGTGAACCGTGGAGGTCCTCGAGGGGCCTCTCTCGTAGTCGACCCGGCAGCGGTAAGTGTCCTGATCCCCGGGCCGCACCGGGTGAACCCGTAGACTCGGAGGGTTGACCTTGAGGTCAAACTTGGCTCGCTGTCCGAACACTGTCTCGTCGCTCCAGTGTCGTCCTCCGGACTGACGCAAGTCGTAGCTATTCAACAAGACGAACACAAAAATAATGGATGGAGAACGCTATTAATATTAGACAATGTGAAACGGATTAAGTAAGATAGCTGAAGCAGAAATAAGTGCCCCTTTCCCTCTCTCTCCACCCCCCCTCCACCCTACATCCCCCCCTCCCCCTCCCTCCACTCGCCCCCTCCCCCTCCCTCCACTCGCCCCCTCCCCCTCCCTCCACTCGCCCCCTCCCCCTCCCTCCACTCGCCCCCTCCCCCTCCCCCCACTCGCCCCCTCCCCCTCCCCCCACTCGCCCCCTCCCCCCACTCGCCCCCTCCCCCCACTCGCCCCCTCCCCCCACTCGCCCCCTCCCCCCACTCGCCCCCTCCCCCCACTCGCCCCCTCCCCCCACTCGCCCCCTCCCCCCACTCGCCCCCTCCCCCCACTCGCCCCCTCCCCCTCCCCCCACTCGCCCCCTCCCCCCACTCGCCCCCTCCCCCCACTCGCCCCCTACCCCCACTCGCCCCCTACCCCAGACCCCCCTAACAGACCCAAATAATATACCAACCGGGCCCATCAAAGCCGCTACTAGCCGACAAGACCAAGGCAGCAATTGAACTCGTAAACAACTTTGAGAAGCAATGGAAAATTAGCACCAACAAACAAAAGTTCCAAATAATACACATTGCGAAAAGAAACCCGGACCCCATCATCCTTGATAACCAGCCGATCCAATATGCGGAGGTAGCAGAATACTGGGACTTATGATAAATAGAACAGGGATACAAATTCATGTAAGGGACCGACTAAACAAAGCCAAAGCAGCATTAGGAAAACTGAGAAGATTCCGGAGCCTCAGTACTAACATTCAGATCCACCTATATAAGGCTCTAGTTGGGCCGCATCTAGAATATCCCCCAGTACCACTACACACCATAAAGAAAACTAACATGCAGAAACTACAAGCAGTACAAAATAAGGCGCTAAGGAGAGCAGCAAAACACCGTCCACTATATGATCAGACAATCCAGGAGCTCCACGAACTCCTGAACATACAGCCACTAAACATCAGACTGCAGCACCAAGCCATCAGGGTATGGAACACCATCGAAATGTTAGAGGACCCAATGTTTGAAAGATTACTCCAAGATGAGACGCCCCGCTCCCACAGCTGGTGGCCCAAGAGCCTCGATTCTCTGGACGAAAACCCCGCCCCACAGTATATAATCCCCAGATGAGTTATATATGTATATATATGAACAGTTCATATATGTGTGTGTATGAACAACTCGATAAATATGTATGACAACTCGATAAATAATAATAATAAAATAAAGAGCCTTAAACAGAATAACATGTGTGGAAGCATCGGAGTGTGTATATATGAATGCTACACAGTATTCATCTATGGACATCCATATATGGTGAAACACATGTGAAGAACCTCTCACACACTCACATCTCCCTGACAAGAGGGAGCCAGCTTAGCTTAGCTGCCAACACCCACACATCGTGTCAGCAAGGCGGACAGCCCGCCTGCTTTCATACCTCTCACTGTATTTCCCACTATTATACTTCCCTTCACCTATGCCTCTCCTTCCTCTTTACTCCCTCCCCCCCCCTAAAAAAAAAAACTCGCCCCCTCCCCCCACACACCCCCTCCCCCCCCCCCCCACTCGCCCCCTCCCCCCACTTGCCCCCTCCCCCTCACACGCCCCCTCCCCCACACACGCCCCCTCCCCCCCCACTCGCCCCCCTCCTCCCTCCCCTCCACTCCTCCCTCCTCCCACTACCCCCCCCCCACCCGGAAAAAAAATGCTAACTACTCCCTTAAATAATCCATCGATTGAAAACATTGAATACATGTCATTAGGAAGATATATTAGTCCTTTTCAATATATTATTTTTTGGGGGGGCTTCAAAACAGTTTTTTCCCTTAAATTAAAATCTCCAAATAAACGCATCAGTGAATTATATTTGAGTTCTGCGAAAAATGTATTTAAGATAGCTGGGCGAACATTACATTACCACAAGTTAAACACTTGTGGTAATGTAATGTTACCACAAGTAACATTACAAGTAACAAGTAATAATAATGTTTGTGACACAAAAAAAAAAGATAATGCAACTTTTCAGTTTTTGCACTGAATGTTATTTTGCTTTCTGGGGAAAAAAAAAAACATATATCGCAATATTTTTTATTTTCGTTGTGACTTAATTTTCTTTTTATGGCATTAACCTCAACAAAAAATATTAGTACAATATTAATAAAACTATTAATTATTAACGGAATGATAACAGCCATACACATTGATGGAGCATTTTAGATGGATGAATTTATTTTTTTTACAACGGCATGAATTCCATTTTCTGTGCCTTTTGAAACCTGCTCGAACATTTTGAACCTTTAGACTTCCGTCAATAAATAATTATCCGGCAAATATAACAGAGGCAAGAGTCCACACGCCCATTCTTGGATCACCACGTAGAACACTTACGTCTGACAACGTAATCAATCAATAAAGCCTGCTCTTACGAACACGATTGCACCACATGAACAAATCCACAAGGGTCGTGACGAGGGTTCGAACCTGCGTCCGAGAGCATCCCAGACACTGGCTTAATCGACTGAGCTCCCTGGAAACACAAACCGAAACTGTCTCTATTTTCCGCTAGTTACAACTTGTAATAAAGTTGTTACATCTTGGGTTAACGTGTTTATGACGTATTAGAACGTTGTTACAACTTGCTATATTGGTTGTTATAACTGGTTAGGTGGTGTTAAAAGTTGTTCGAACGTTGTACCAACGTCGTAGTTTCGGTGTGTGTTTGGCGGGCTACGACAGGGTTAAAAGTCGACTGAGCTACGACACCACGTTTCAGTTTAGACATGCATGTGACTATAGATTTCATTAGTGAAACGGAATGCTATAACAACTTTGGGAAAGCTGTTATTATTGCTATAGACAAAAAATAAGATAACGGTCATTTCGCGGAGGCAAAATATTATACCGTTCAATTATATTGCTAACCAATTATCGGTATAATTTATTAAATAGTTGGTAGATTTGTATATTTAGTGTAGTGTGATGGAAGATTTTTTTTGCAAGAGAGAAGTGTTATTGCAGCTAAGTACTTTAGGGACTGTTGCTAGTCCTCGTTATTCCAACACCACTTAGGTACTGTGATGTTCATAGTACTCTACAACTCGCATATATATTAATAATATAATGATTACTGTTAAATGATGATTTTGGCCCATGACTGTGCATATATATATATATATATATATATATATATATATATATATATATATGTCGTACCTAGTAGCCAGAACACACTTCTCGGCCTACTATGCAAGTCAAAATTTGCCTAATAAGCCAAGTTTTCATGAATTATTTATTTTTCGACTACCTAACCTACCTAACCTAACCTAACATAACTTTTTCTGCTACCTAACCTAACCTAACCTATAAAGATAGGTTAGGTTAGGTTAGGTAGGGTTGGTTAGGTTCGGTCATATATCTACGTTAATTTTAACTCCAATAAAAAAAAATTGACCTCATACATAATGAAATGGGTAACTTTATCATTTCATAAGAAAAAAATTAGAGAAAATATATTATTTCACGAAAACTTGGCTTATTAGGCAAATCGGGCCTTGCATAGTAGGCCGAGAAGTGTGTTCTGGCAACTAGGTACGACATATATATATATATATATATATATACACATTATATATATATATATATATATATATATATATATATATATATATATATATATATATATATATATATATATATATATATATAATGTCTTCACAGTTCCAACACCACCAAATTAAAAGCCAAGACAAAGATATCCAATGAGAAGCAAATTTAATTCATTTAAGTGAATGTTTAAAATTAGACTATAAAATAGATGAAACGTGGTTTGTCTAAGCTTCCATTTTCTAGTACGACGATTTTTGGACCTTAGGTGCAGGATACGTCAAAATGCGACGGTCTATTAGAAAGGGCTGCTCAAAGAAAGACTGAAGAGGAATTGGGATATTCAATACACTTCAAGACTGAATAATGGTATATAGAAAAAGTCAAGAGCCATACAGCTAAAAACAGCAACAATTAAGCTCCTATTTTAGCTTGAGCCGCCCAAATCTTAGCATTGCCGTATAATCACATTGTAACTATAATTTACAATATATTTTTATTACCAATTATAACAATAACGTGGATAATATTAAAAGTGAAGCAGCAAATGCTGAAATTGGTGTAAAATTCATTTCTTAGGCTCCCTGAAGTTGCTATACAACCAGGGCACTAGTAACGTGCCCATCACTCTGCTCGAAACTCTTGTATGACGTTACCACGAAACGTTATTACCAATAACGCTCAGGAGAACATAAATGTAATGGACCACAGCGACATTCACCCATTATTCTTTCACCTTATGCCCCTGTTACCTAGCAGTAAAATAGGTACCTGGGTGTTATAGGTACCTGGGTAAAATAGGTACAGGTTCCAGGAGGGCAGGATCCAGGACAGGTTGCAGGAGGACAGGTTGCAGGAGGACAGGTTGCAGGAGGACAGGTTGCAGGAGGACAGGTTGCAGGAGGACAGGTTGCAGGAGGACAGGTTGCAGGAGGACAGGTTGCAGGAGGACAGGTTGCAGGAGGACAGGTTGCAGGAGGACAGGTTGCAGGAGGACAGGTTGCAGGAGGACAGGTTGCAGGAGGACAGGTTGCAGGAGGACAGGTTGCAGGAGGACAGGTTGCAGGAGGACAGGTTGTAGGAGGACAGGTTGCAGGAGGACAGGTTGCAGGAGGACAGGTTGCAGGAGGACAGGTTGCAGGAGGACAGGTTGCAGGAGGACAGGTTGCAGGAGGACAGGTTGCAGGAGGACAGGTTGCAGGAGGACAGGTTGCAGGAGGACAGGTTGCAGGAGGACAGGTTGCAAGAGGACAGGTTGCAGGAGGACAGATTGCATCATCGATATACTGACTATAAACAGATATCGGAAATCATCTAAATAAGGCACAGCCCAGGAGCTGTATCTCATTCCACAAATAAACTACTAGATAAGCAAGCACATTCGCAAGCAAACGAGAACAAACACTCAAGCAAATGTACAGGAACAATCACAAAATTATTTACGTATAAACATTCCAATTAGTTGCATTAAAGTTAACTACGTGACTGTTGTTGTATATACAGTAGTTAACATTTCTGCAAACATTTGTTGATCATTATTAAATCTGTAAAAATTTTACAATATCCAATGTTGTGTGTGTGTTCACACCTAGATATACTCACTTACATGTGCTTGTAGGAAACTAATATTAATGGGTCAACTATTTAAATTGGAACCTAGATCATAGATGTCAGGTTATCTTGAGATGATTTCGGGGCTTTAGTGTCCCCGTGGCCCGTTCCTCGACCAGGCCTCCACCCCCAGGAAGCAGCCCGTGACAGCTGACTAACACCCTGGTACCTATTTTACTGCTAGGTAACAGGGGCATAGGGTGAAAGAAACTCTGCCCATTGTTTCTCGCCGGCGCCTGGGATCGAACTCACAGGATCACAAGTCCAGCGTGCTGTCCGCTCGGCCAACCGGCTCCCTCGTTAGTTCTGAATGCTGATGGCTATCGTTTCTGTATTGTAGCTCCTGCTTGTCACTCTGTGCCATCTGATAAGTTCTGTATGGCTTAGGAATCTAGCTAACAATGATTGATTAGTTATGTATGGCTTAGGAATCTAGCTAACAATGATTGATTAGTTATGTATGGTCGTGATGTTGAATGTCGAGTGATTAACATGTCTTTGTGCTTATAAATGTTAATATATTTTTCATTATCTCTATTATTATTATCTGTTCTGTTTTAATCACCGATAATTTGTAATTATTTGCTTCCATTCAGCATGAAGAACTAATTGGACTAATCGTTAGTTTAGTGCTCGATATTAATTGTAAATAATTTTGTCAAAATGAGTTAAATATTTTTGACTATATGATGATACGAAAGCTAAGTTTATTTAGTTCTTAATGACTTCTACAGCTGGTAGTCACATTATCATTATTAACTTAATTATTCGTTAATTATTTATTTTCCAAACTTTTTTCTTAATTACCGGAGAGCTTCAAGCGCCCTACATACCAGGCAGGAAAATCATGGCAATTTGTTAATTACTCTTCAGGATAATGAAATTCCATGAACTTACCATGACAAGCCCTGACATTCTTGCCTAGAAGTTTGTGAGTGAGAGAGGGAGTAAGAGAGATCATTTTTATCTCACTTTCTCTCTTAATTTCTCTCGTTATTCCAGCCTCTCCTGCCGTACGCACTGGCCCTTGCCCGTGTAATCAACGCACTCTTGGATCCCAAGTGAATGAAGATCACGGGGGCGGGGTAAATGCTAGGGGGCGCTGACCCCACAGTTAATTAAATGTTTGCACGGAGCTTCACCCCGCGAACAAAATGAGGAAAGTTTCGTGTTCTTTCAAGTCAGAGTGAGGAGAGAGAAAAACTATTTGAGAGATGGAGCGAGGGCGCTCACTCAGCATGTCCTCTTAAAAAGAACGTCGCTTTTGGCCGTTTGCCCGTATGGCCAAATATGGACGTAATTTGAAAATTAAAATTAATTGAAAATAAATTTGGGATTTTTTTTTCAACAACAGTAAGTTAAGGGTCCTCTGCTAGATTAGGTGGGCAGAAAATTCTTATAAAGTTTCAAAACGTTATGAAAAACGTTAATTGAAAGTTCCTCTTCTAACCTGTCCGAGTAAGCCGGACGACTCAAACAGAAAACGGAACAGTACGTCACTTTTGTGAGTCGATTTCATTTCAAATTACGTCCAAATTTGGCCATAGTGCGCATACGAGCCTAAAGTGACGTTATTTTTAAGAGGACGGGTTGCTGAGTGAGTGTTTTTAAGTGAGGTTTGGGGGGTGGAGAACTTACCTGTAGAAGGGTGCCGGCGACGCCCCGCGGTACCAGAGGACTATGATAGCGACGTCTGCCATGCCCCTGGTGGACAGGTCGCAAGGCACCTTCACCGTCTCGTTGGCCAGAACCGTCAACTGTGCCAGCACTGTAACGTAACATAGGTCATCAATAACTTAAGTTGATGATTTGACTGCCTGATAAAGCTCCTAGGAATATATACACAGAATAATTAAGGTACATTGTCAAAATACATATCGAGAGAGGTTTTGCAATCAAAATTTCAAATATCTGATACTATAAGACGTCCATTTTGAATCAACTCAACATATATATATATATATATATATATATATATATATATATATATATATATATATATATATATATATATATATATATATATATATACGTATAGAACCACATCAGCTGATGCTAAACAAGGACTGGTTGATGGGGTTCTGGGAGTTCTTCTACTCCCCAAGCCCGGCCCGAGGCCAGGCTTGACTTGTGAGAGTTTGGTCCACCAGGCTGTTGCTTGGAGCGGCCCGCAGGCCCACATACCCACCACAGCCCGGTTGGTCCGGCATTCCTTGAAGGAAACAATCTAGTTTCCTCTTGAATCTGATGTATGTTGAATCTTGAAACTTATGTATTAACACGATGTACTGAACGGGGTGAGAATAGCTTGAGCTACCTCATCCCTTTGTGTGTATTTTACCTCAATAAACTTATTTCAATTTCAACAAGGTAACTAGTACACTAATCAACCAACCTCCCAATCTCACCTGTCGAATGGTACATGGTATTTTGACGTTAAAATCCCCCCCAACGGACAAGATATAACGTTCTATATATTTTACAGCAACTCTCTCGAATTCCCATTTTCTATGCGTGTGTCGCTCGGTTACGTTAGGTTAATTTAATACAACATTTTCCGTACGTTGAAGCAATTTGCGATGTCGGGCTGAACAGCGTTCTAATTATCATCTTTAAATCTCGGATTAAGTAGAGGATGCGAGGGCGGATGAGCAAGAGAGCTGTTAGTGGAGGCACTCGACGAGGAATCATTATTGACAATAGTGCCAATGACTCGATGCGTTGATCTGTTGTTTCCCCGTTAAATTCATCATGATTAATGATCAATTTTTCTCGTGACTTGAACTAGGAGAACTGAGCAATGTGTAATTGTTTCCTGAAGCTGAAAATGTGGAGCTTGTATCTACACGCACGCCCACAATCCCACCCACGCTCGCACGCCCACAATCCCACCCACGCTCGCACGCCCACAATCCCACCCACGCTCGCACGCCCACAATCCCACCCACGCTCGCACGCCCACAATCCCACCCACGCTCTCGCCCACAATCCCACCCACGCTCTCGCCCACAATCCCACCCACGCTCGCACGCCCACAATCCCATGCTGGCACGCCCACAATCCCACGCTCGTACGCCCACAATCCCACGCTGGCACGCCCACAATCCCACGCTCTCGCCCACAATTCCACCCCCCACTCGCACGCCCACAATCCCACGCTCTCGCCCACAATTCCACCCCCCACTCGCACGCCCACAATCCCATGCTCGCACGCCCACAATCCCCCACACACACTCGCACGCCTGCAGCTACACACTCAATAATACAACATATAATGACACTGGGTAAATCCAATAAACTAGACGTAACTGAAGTGAACATAATGACCGCCATCACGAGGGCAGGTATGGAGGGCAGGTATGGAGGGCAGGTATGGAGGGCAGGCATGGTAGGTGGTGCAGCGGCGCATTAATGCCCTCGCCGTTATGGGCATTGATGTCCTGGCTGTTAACGCGTCACGGTAATTACTTAACGAGTCAATTAATCCTCCTTAACATTCCCCGCCAATCTTAACCAGCCCCCCCCCCCTCCACCCCCCGCCAACACTCTCCACCATGTTGGAGGGGAATTATGACCCCCAGTGGGCCACACTGTGACTGTGGGGACCCACAGTGGGCCACACTGTGACTGGGGGGACCCACAGTGGGCCACACTGTGACTGGGGGGACCCACAGTGGCCCACACTCCGACTAGTGGACCCACAGTGGGCCACACTCCATGCCTGGCTTGAAGCACCGTAGCCAACGACCGTATAATTTAGCACATCTCTGCTGATCACAGCTTTCGAAATATCATCAAATGTCGACGCGGAAACCTTGAATTGAATTGTTATCTGGTCATACGCGAATGTCCTCAAATCTTAAAAACTTCCTGGAATTTTGCGCTCCTCAGTTGAGCTCTGACCGGCCGGTGGAGAGTTTGTTAAATATTGTGTTATATGAAATGTGTTTATATGTTCGTTTTGCAAGCAATGTTGTTCCACGAACAGAATATTGGTGTGAATGAAAAGACTTGGCCGGAGTTTTGTAGAAGTTGTTGAATGTTTACCATTGTGCAATTTTATATTTGATTCTAAACTCGCTGAAAGATGCAGTTTCACTGATGCTGTTTTTAACAATAAATGAATTTACCAACGGACGTTAATATTACTGTAAGGTTAGCACCATTATTTATAATACATTATTCCAGGCAATTTCATACATTACTTTATCAATTTAGTTTTTAAATTACATAATGTGAATGTATGAATTACACTGATTGACTGTATCTTTATGAGAGTTTCTGTATTTAATGGTCGTCTGGGTGAGTACAAGCTTGGTACAGCAGTTTGTTTTCTACCACAGACGTGGCCAGACATTTACAATGCTAACCATCATATATACATTTTCTTCTGTCCTCCATGGACAGGGTTAGAGATGTGTTAAACATATAGTTCAGGGGTTTATTGAACAATCAACCACAGAAGGTGATTCGGTGCTTTTCAAATGCTAAGCTAACCTACATACTTATCTCAGGCGATTAGTCACAATAACGTGGCTGAAGTTTGTTGACTAATTCACACACTAGAAGGTGAAGGGACGACGACGTTTCGGTCCGTCCTGGACCATTCTCAAGTCAATTGAGATCAATAGACTTGAGAATGGTCCAGGACGGACCAACACGTCGTCGTCCCATCATTTTGTAGTGTGTGGACTGGTCAACAACAGTCTCATTTACTGGTCCACTGATGTGTCTTTGTTCTTGTAAATGTTGTTCTTGTAAATGTTGTTCTTGTAAATGTTGTTCTTGTAAATGTTGTTCTTGTAAATGTTGTTCTTGTAAATGTTGTTCTTGTAAATGTTGTTCTTGTAAATGTTGTTCTTGTAAATGTTGTTCTTGTAAATGTTGTTCTTGTAAATGTTGTTCTTGTAAATGTTGTTCTTGTAAATGTTGTTCTTGTAAATGTTGTTCTTGTAAATGTTGTTCTTGTAAATGTTGTTCTTGTAAATGTAGTTCTTGTAAATGTTGTTCTTGTAAATGTTGTTCTTGTAAATGTTGTTCTTGTAAATGTTGTTCTTGTAAATGTAGTTGTGTTGCGTGCTACTGCAACGCTCCTTATTGTCATTTGGCCCACTTGTGGCTCTCTTTGTCCTGCACAGTTAATTGGCAGCAAGACTTTCTTAATGATTTCACGCCTCGCAATCACTCTGAAACTACAACAAACAAGACCATAGAGGCAGAACTGATCTACAGATACACCTAGAGTATACCTGGATTATACCTGGGGACCCCACCAGGTACACCGTCTCATGTATACCTGTCTTCGGTAAGAATAAGGGAGGATAAGTAGGAGAGCAAAAAAATAAAAAAAAAGATTCAAGAATTAATTAAGATTGACCAATAAGGAATCCCCAGTATGAAGATCTTGTACAGCAAGGAGAGATGGAAGGGTGTATTTGTACTTTCTGGACATTTCAATAACAATTTAGTGACCGTTGTACTTACTACAGAACTATCAAAATAGTTCAATTGGCAGATTTCTTGTGAAGCTAATCAAGGAAAAAATCAATAAGCTACGAGAGTAGCTCACTTACCAGGGTGATTATATACAAAAAATCTAGGCCATAAATCCCAATGTAACCTGTATACTGCACAAGAGTACCTGTGCAATTCTCTATACTAGAGCATTGTTAGAAGGTCAGCATTGCTAGTAATCCTGTTTGTCTCTCGAATCCCAATGGAAGCGTTGATAGGTGCCATTGAGAGTCACTCAGTAAAGGGAAGATTATTCTCATGTTATATCGACCTTAGGAGATACCTATATTCACCTAGCGTTTAACCCTTTCTTGCACTTTCGTATAGTCAATATTGACTTATTAAATACGTGCATATGTGACATACTAAACATACTAGTTTACCTTGAAAAGCTTCATAGAAAACACCGACCTTATCTAACCTTCTTAGTATGTTAAGATAAGCATCTTATTGCTTCGTAATTACAATTATTACTTAACCTATTATAGGTATAGTTTAATTAATAATTGTAATTACAAAGCAATAAGATGCTTATCTTAACATACTAAGAAGGTTAGGTAAGGTCGGTGTTTTCTATGAAGCTTTTCAAGGTAAACTAGTATGTAACATATGCACGTATTTAATAAATCAATATTGACTGTAAGAAAGTGCGAGAACGGGTTGTAGCCTCTGGCTATGGGAGGGAGATGAGCTCTTCAGGAAAGAAGTTGGTGTGAAAAAGTTAGGTGCCTTGTTAAAAAAAGCACAATGCATCGTTAGTATCTTGATAATTATCCTTCATTTCAAACTCAATTGCATTCAGTTTCTCTTTGTGATTGGCAGTAATGACCCTATCAAGCAGTAATTTTCATGTTAGATAACTGTTTAGGAAACGATAAGCAGGCGGATATATTTACGTAATCGTTAAAAATAAAATATGGATAACCCATTCAATTAAAAAAATTGCGGAGAAAAACTGTTATTTATTCAACATCTCGCAATTTTTTAAGTTATATATTCATCACTTAGCTGGAATTACGATTTACATTGCGACATGTGGAGTGGAAGTGCGCTCTTGCTAATTAGCATTTGCAAGATCACAGCTGGAGACCTTTTCATTGAATGTCAGGTCGTGCATAGGTCAGGTTACAGGAAATGTTACATGTCTGAACAAAGCTCAGTTTCCCTTCATGGTTTCTACCATACATAAAGACGCATAACAATAGGACTGTAGTTTATAGCTGTGTGATTCCTGTTTTGTTCTTGTCACTCCCTGGCTGTCACTCCCTGGCTGTCACTCCCTGTCACTCCCTGTCACTCACTGTCACTCACTGTCACTCACTGTCACTCACTGTCCCTCACTGTCCCTCTCACTCCAACACCTGTCCTCTCCCATATTGGACACTCCAACACCTGCCCTCTCCCATATTGGACACTCCAACACCTGCCCTCTCCCATATTGGACACTCCAACACCTGCCCTCTCCCATATTGGACACTCCAACACCTGCCCTCTCCCATATTGGACACTCCAACACCTGCCCTCTCCCATATTGGACACTCCAACACCTGCCCTCTCCCATATTGGACACTCCAACACCTGCCCTCTCCCATATTGGACACTCCAACACCTGCCCTCTCCCATATTGGACACTCCAACACCTGCCCTCTCCCATATTGGACACTCCAACACCTGCCCTCTCCCATATTGGACACTCCAACACCTGCCCTCTCCCATATTGGACACTCCAACACCTGCCAGCTAACTGTACCACACTCTCCCACACAACCATGAACCCCCAAAGAGAACCCGGGCCATTAATAAACCCCCTGAACAGTTTTTCTAATATATTTTTCCCCGTTAAACTATTCTTGTTCATCGTAACATGTTTTCGCCTCCTCTTAAGTGGGTACAGGAGCCCAGAAAAATAT